GCGTTGAAATTTAAATGGTGGGAAAAATTTGGATACGCTCGCTTGTTATGCTTATAAAGATTTTCAAAATAGTTACTATAAAAAGGAAAATCCTTAACCAATGTTAAGCCTTGTTGAGTTTAGAAAAAATCCGCTTTTCGTAATTGATTGCAGTATGTGCCCAAAATTCAACTGAGGATGTTAATTAAGGTTGAATTCGAAACACGTAAAATGCTGTTTCCCATCAACACTAAAGCATATGCACTTATTACCCATGAAGCTCTTATAAGTTATAATGCATTGGATGATACTATACACACTGAATATATGCCGCTGTAATTCATATACTTTAATTTAATATATCTGATATTACACTTGGGTTCACTTATAACAAAAATAATAACGTAACCTTTTTTAAATCAAAAACATTAAAACTATGTACGAGCCCAGAATCATATCATTTGGCCCATTCAATATTATATTTTTTATTTTATTGTAGACAACATTGGTAAATACAAAAGAAAAATCTATTGATTCCAACTATTTTTATTATAATTTGACACATGTTTATCAAATTTTTTTTATTAAAATGAATATCAGAAAATTAGAGATATGCACAGAACACTAAATTAAATAAGATAACAATGAATCATTTTGGCTTAATAATCATGGAAGGACACCGGTGATTTTAATGTGTAACATCTCCCTTTTACATCAGAACTGTTTCAATTTACTTTGGCATGGTATCTACTAACTTTTTAAAATATGCAGCAATGAAAGAGTTTTAAATTTAAGTTAGCCTCTCTTTTAATTCAGGAACTGCTCTAGCAGGAGTAGCTCATATTTTTTTTAATTTTATTTCAGTGTTCCAATTTGCGACAGATTGGGACTACTGGATATCCAATCTAATGCCGGAATATTTGGCAACATCCACTCCTTTACTATTTTAGCAGTATGACACGCAGCCATCCTGTTGAAATATGTACGCATTTTTTTCTTGTTTATAAGCTGTCAATGGATAGAATTAAGCTGTCTGTGAGGATGTCAATATATCTAACAGCATTAAGAATCCCTTCTAAGATAGGCAACTTGTCAACCTCTTGAGCCGACATGCATCCCGAAATCATTATAGAAGCTGGAAACTTGACTTTTCTACGCAAACAGTCTGGGTGATAAGGTTCATTTTTTGTCCGCATACCCTACTTCGGTAATCTCCAACACATACCTCAAATCGTGATACATCATTCCAAATAACTCTGTCCCATTGCATCTGTGACCACTTTTTATGATTTTTGCCCCATCCTAATCTATTATTTTTCTATCTTACAGTTAACAGCGGTTTTTGTTTAGCCTGCGAAAAAAAAAATTTTCATTATTGTTTCTCGATGACATATATTTTCGAAAATAACTTTCTGTGTAAAAATTAAAGCTCAATCGCTTGATAGCTCTAAGACAGGTCGACCTTGAAAAATTATTTCCCGTTGCTCTATTCCACGCTACACTTAATTCACCACAATTGACTCGGCGATTTTGTTTTAAAATGCGACGTAGTGCTCTCATCGGGGTTATTTTTGAAGTTCTACCCAAATTTGGTTTTTCTTGAACTGCTCCTGTCGTTTTATAAAATTTGATTATATTTCGTACATTATAGCATGATAATTGCAGTTGTTTGGCAATTTTAGCATCAGAATTACCAGCATTGTATAAATTGACGATAACTTGACGTAAATCATTAGGCACATCTTTTACCCCTCAACATTTTGTTAACATTAAATACTTACAACTAACTGCTGAAGTGTCACTGTCAGAAATCAACAATTGGCAAATGTTTAGTTTTAACTCAAAAAAGCTCTTTTTATTACATTGGCCAAACAAAATGATTCATTGGTATCTTATTTAATTAATTATTCTGTGCATAACTCTAATTTTCTAATATTAATTTTAATAAACATGCCTCAAATTATAATAAAAATAGTTGGATTCAATAGATTTTTTTTCTAGTTACCAATAATATAGTCCAAAATAAAATTAAAAATATTTAATGGGCCAAATGATTATGGGCTCGTGTATTGTTTTATTGGTTATATTACATTTTGCCCTGCCGTTTAGCCCCCACTGTTTTGTCCCCGCCGTTTTGCCCTTGGACGTTTCGCCCCTATGCCGTTTCACTCCCTACCGTTTTGCCACCAAGAATTTAAGTAAATAAAAATGTTATTACATATGGAATTAGTAGTAATGTTTGTGGATCTAGCTGCAAAAGTGTTTCTGGCCACGGTGTCAGTTATTTTTGAAGTAATATTATCAACATCAGCTAAAAGACTTTATATAGAAATACCAGTACCTATTATTGGTTCTTTACTAAACTTTAGACTTAGTGCTAAGAATTTACTTATATATCATCAGGTATGTTGATAGTTAGTTTTACTTTATAGAAAATTTTATTGTAAGTAATTTGTTGAGCACTAGCAAAATTAATAAAGATATCTGAGTTTGTTAATCTTATGATTTCGTGCTTTAGTGAGTTTTTTGTTAGTTCTAACTTTTTATTTAATTTATGATCGTTACAAATTTCCAAATTCAAAAGTTTATTTCCTAACCTTAACTGTGTTTCCATTGTGCTTTGGATGTCTTGGTGTAATAGTGTGTTAATTGATATCATGCTGTTTGAAACGTGTAATGGAAGCAGGCCTAATTTTCTAAATTTTAATAAGAAGCAATGTCTATTATATTCCTTTGCCAATTTGGTTTTCACTCGAGACCAAGATTTTATTTTTATGACTGTGCTGTTCCCGTATCTAGGCTCTGATGTTCTGGTCATGACCCATACCTGAGAAAATAGATAGAAGTCTTTGCTGACTCGTTAGGAAATGAACTTGGAGTTAATGGTTTTGCAGCAAGAGTACACATATCGTTTTTTAAATACAAACGTACTCTTTTGCATAAAATTAATATTTTTCGACCGTACTTGACTGAAAAATTTTGTATTTTATATTTTAGAGTATGTATTTTTTTTATAAAGAATAACTTTTTTGAATAAAAACTAATATTAAAAAAAGTTTCCCAACTTAAATAGACACATTGTATATTATTTTTGCTTAGAGGTAGTATATTATTTTAGATATGTATAAAAACCTTTCGTATGTACAGTTCAGCACATATATACATAATAATCCGTACGGCTATTAATAATTGAAGTAGATGCCGTAAAAGAATATTGATGTGAAAAAAGTGGCAAAGGTTTTTGGATATAGCACCCAAAGAATTAGAGGTGCCTCAACAAAATTGGTGCTGACCTTTGCAAGGATAGCATATTTATTTTGATTACCAATTTGTGGCATGTACAGGTTGTAAAGCCTAAGAAACAAATAAAATAACAAAAAAAATTATAATATCGACGGTTGAAAGGAGAAACTGTTAATACGCCAATATTATGACTTCACAGGAGAGCCGTTTAAAGTTCGGATTTTTCGAAATAAAATCATAAAAAATCAATGGATTGTCCAATTTAAGATATTATTTCTGTAGATGGATTGGTTTTTATTTCCCCAAATTTACAGATATGTTTCATAAACTAATTTGGCATGGTTCTCAAAATAAGTGGCGTATTATACAATACCGTTTCAATATACGAACAGGATAAATGTAAATATTGATTAATACTACATTTGTTTTGAAAGCAAAAATGGCTAATAAGCATTACTGAGTTTCAATTTTTTTGGGAAAAATGTTTTATGCATAAAAAAATATAGATTTTGAGCTTAATATTGTTTTATGACAAACTTTGCTAGAGTTTTATGTATAGTAGAAATGTATTAAGAGCTTTATGGATATTTTATAATGACTGTTTTATAACAGAAGTGTAATTTTTTTTTAATTTCTTAGTATTTATTTAGTGAGAAAATTATTTTAATCAGTTAATATTATATTAAACATTTTTGCTTAGTAGTTGAAGTAAAAATATTTGGTTAGAAATATTAATTTAATTTTTTTTTTCAATTTTAAACTGGTGTATTACAAGCAAACAAGAAATATTAACTTTATTATTTTATTTATTTTTTTATAAACACAATATTTATGTTAAATATTGTAAAACAAATTATACTAGAAAACAAAACCAAAGTAGCAAAAAAATATTCATTACAAAAAAATATAAGCAATAATATTAATTATTATTCTAGTCAGAAAGCTCATTATCTTCTTCGTCAGTCTCTGGTAGGGTATCTTTGGTATTACTTCGTGAATAATTTAGATACTCATTATGATATTGGGCAGGAATAATATCAGCTTGGCAAAGTTTTATCAGGTCCTGAAACTTCTGCTTGGAAATTGGGAGAGGTTCCTTATAAAGTTCCTGTAATTGAGTATTTTTTATTTTTCCAACTATAGGTTTGTCTCTTCTTCCGCATCTGTCGCCATGGAATATTTAATCACCATCTTATTCATATCAGTCTTTCTAAATGTAGCAACTCAAACTTTACTAATTTTACCCACCAGATTGCCCTTTAAAGTATTTGTCTGAAATATTGTCCCATGACAAAAAATCCTTGTGCGTTAGAGAATTAACTACATAAGGTTCAGGGATATTACGAGCCAACTCAAACACTGTCGCTTATTGTGAGGGTGCCCATATAATATGCTTGGAAATACTCTTTTCAATCACAGAGTGCATGCTATCTACTGGCATGTAGGTATGGCCTGGAAGAAGATAATTGATCTGAATAACATCCAGATTTAAACAGGAGAGCAGGTTGTGATGAAGTGAAGCTAGAATAGTTCTATTCTTATTTTGTCCTGGACATGAATCACAGTAAAGAAGAAGATTTTTTACTGTACCACGTTTATCAACTTCTTTAATATAATATGCTTTTAAATTTGTTGCTATCTCATTGGCGCCCCTCTTGCCTTCACTTTCATTCCAGCTAAAACAGTATCCTTTTCTTGTTGTACTCTCATAAAACGTTAGGTTGTAGACTGCTAACTTTCTTGAATAATACAGGAGCATGCTTTCGCCATGTGGGGTGTTAAGCACCTTTTGAAGATCGAATGATGATAGAGTTGTTTCTGTTGTGAACATTTTGATGAACTTTAAACCTTTTTTTACTTTCATCTCTCTCTTTCTCGTGAGCTTTCTTCAACGCTTTATTTTCAGGACCTGGATTATTCTCGAATCCAACGCACTTGACACATTTGTCCTTTTTAGGAACGTGAAACCCAATTTTAAACTCTTTTGAAAATATATTCCTAAACAGCCTTTCTGATACAACGTCTATTCCATTTTTAGTTTGCTCCGACTTGTAAAACAGATATAATTTTGATACATTCTTGAATTCCTGAGGTAGATACACTTTTATGGAGTCTTTTCTGGAATAATGGGATGGGAGTGCTGGTAGGCTTGTCATAAATTTTTTTAAAGATGTAAGAATGTGATCTGGTGTCTTGTTGGCGGGAATAGTTTTTTCTCGCATGTCTTCCTTGGGTAAACCGTAAGATGCATTTGAAAGAGTGTAGTATACGTATCTTTGCGATATATCTAGTGTCGCAAGCAAAAATTTTAGACAATCTGGTCGTTGTCCCTCCCCTTCGTTTATAAAATATTGGAAGGTTTTCGACTTTCTGCTCAGATGTTTTACCCTCTTTCTCTTCACATCTCCATTTTTTGACATCGAAACCAGCCAATCACGACGTCTTTGTGGGCTTAAATTCCAAAAATGGTCGAAGACACTAATCCGTTTATCTTCAGGAATATCTCCATATTTGTTGAAACAATCAGATCCTTGGCAAGGATTGGGACGCAATTTTTTTTCTGGTACAATGGTTCCATCATTCTTCTTGTAAGATTTTCCTTTCTGATATAACGCTTGTCGTTCTTTAGCCTTATTTTTTCTTTTTTCTCTACATCCTGCTTCTCCCACAACTTCATCTTCACCAATACAAACTTTTTGCTTTTTCTTTGTTTTTTCTTACTTGGCATATCTTCATCCTCTTCTTCGCTTGAGCCATCCCAAGAGCTTGAACTATATTCAATTTCAAACTCATCATTGTCCAAGAAATCACAATAGGCAGCTGTTGAAATTTTTGTAGCAGAACGAATACGAGTTTTTTTACTAATATTCTCGTGTGTAGGTACATCACTGAGGGATGGCATTTCTTCAGTAATTGGCAACAAATCATCATCGGAGTTATTTTGTTGGCCGTTGCAGGAAGAATCAAGCATACTATTATAATTGCTTACAGATGGAGAGACCTTTTGTAGAACGGTAAATGTTTTTTGGTATTCATTTTCTGAATTTTCTATGATATTACTAGTAATACTATTATCTCCATGGTTTGTCCATGGTTTATAGGTAGACGTTCCCGGATTATTGAATAAGTTGGTAATTAAATTATTGGCGATTGTGCAGGTGGGTGAATATACTATGTTTTCTTCAGTCAATGAATGACTTACAAGTTCTTCAATACCCAATTGAGGATTGTTACATTGTTGGGGCATTTCAGGATGATCATCATAGGAGCTCATACAACTGACGCCTATATGAGATGCTGTAGCTGTTGAAGCATTAATACATGTATATTTCTCCTATGAAATAATTTGCTGCTCTGGTACTGATGAGGAACTGTTCATTGTCAGTGAAACGTTCGTAAGTCTGCGATAGCGAGGAGAAGTAACGAGTTGATCGATAGAAGGTTCGGTAGGCCGAGGCGCCACCATATCCATGGTAAGGTCACTTCGTCGCATGGCTCCTGTAAGAAACAAACTTCATCAATATATAAGAACAGTTTAAGAATATTTTTAAACCGCATTTTATAAATATTTGCTGATCATGACTTAATTCGCTGAAGAAAAAATGTTCGTCTATTTTAAAAAAGTGATCTAATTTTTTATCAAATATTTACAATCCTTGCCCAAAAACCTATCAAACTTCACATTACTCGAATTTTATAAAAAAGTTAATATTGACCTCCTTCATTTTCACCTTCACCCCTTCCTTTTTACTAAATTACCGGATAAATTTTAAAATTAAATAACTGTATACACAAAACCTATAAAAACACATATTACTCAATTTATTGAGAATTTCGAAACTTTTCCCCTGTTTCCTTTTTACCCTCTATTTCTTACTGATAACAGTTTCATATAACCCCAACACCCAACATTGCCCGAATTTTATATACTTACTTAATAATTAAAGTAGTATTTAAATAGATAGTAAAACCGTCGGCCGCACAGTAGACACTTCCTTTATTTATTACCGGCCGGCATGATGAATACATAACCTATTTTCTGTTTATCTTCCCCAAACAATAATAAATATCATAACTAATATCTAAATAATTGTAACAAAAAACTTACCTTAAATAGTCACAAGTACAATAAATTCTTATGTATAATACGACAGAATAAATTCAACTTGTAAAATACAAAACGAACAAAAACACACACTTCGACTTAAGCAGCAAGACTCGCGTCGTATTGTCTGTTTAGTTTTAATGGAAAACAACAAGAATTCAAAAACCTTGCGTGTATTCCTATAGAAAAAGAATCTAAAATGCACTACTTTTGTTCATTTGAAAGAGTGATAATGATTTATATGCTAAAAATAACATATAATGAAACAGCAAAATTGTTTAATACGCCAAATGCTTGATTATTTGGTCGCAAAGAATAGTTTTATTAGCCAGGAAAGTACCAGAATAAGTAGAGAAAAATGATTAATATTTATTTTTGTAATTTTTTATGAAAACAAAATTGTGTAATTCACCATCTGTGCAAAATGTAGTTCTGTACCTCAGAACCAGAGTATGTTAAGTCCAAAAACTTTATTTTTCAGTAGAGCTGTTTAATTAATTTCGTATTAGACTTTTTCAAATTATGAAACACTGATTTTACTAAATATTGTAACTATTTCATAATTAAATAAGTTTTAGGCATAAGAATAAATGGCATAATGGCAAATTTTGGTTTTGTTTTTTGTTTTTGATTTAAGTGACTTAACATAGTTTTGTATAAACAAAAAATATTTTTTTTGGATTTAACACGCATGTTAAGTACAAAGGTATGGACTTGACATATTTACAGTGGACATAACATTTAGATAAATCGGAAGGCAAAAATACTACCTACTTATTTATTATATAATTTAATGCTTAGGTGATTACAGTTTGGTCTTTTAATAAAAAAAAAATTATTTTTTATCCATCATCTTCGTTATTTCCATATTCCAAATTTTTGTAATAGTCATGGAATCTTTTTGGTACCCATTTTAGAAGTTTTTGTAAATGGCTGTACTTTTTAGCTGAAATTTTTTTAGGACCCTCCCTAATTGGTGAAATCACTAAAGGAGCATAGTCATTTGGTTTGTTTCTTCTGTGAAAGTTAACTTCTGAAAAATCCTTACTAAAATCGGTTTTGTAGTAGATGATTCCAGGGTTATTTCTTCTTACTTGCAAGTGAACTGCATGAGATATCAGAAAATCGTTGCCTGCGCTGTCTTTTTTCTTGTTGATATATAGTGCAGTTGATCCCTCGAATAAATGTTTAAATTCTTTAAAATCAGAGTATTCCATATTGACTACGGTGAATTGTTTTTTTGTTCCACACAATCGGACCATCTGCTGCCAATCCCAAGGGGTTATGATTTGAAATTGTGAAAGTTTCTTTCTTTCACGCTCTATCGTGGAGTGAACGGCATCAGCCTCTAAGTGTGTATGTCCTCTGGCTAGAAACTTGTGATTAACAGCAGTAATATTTGGCTTAATACGCAGGATCAAAAAATAACACATAATCATTAAAATATTTCTATTTTGACTCGGACAGTTATCCGACCAAATTGTTATTTCCTTGACTTCGTCTGAAACGTTCTGTTCAACCCATTTTATTAGACAAGATGCAATTTCATTTCCTCCCCGTCCGGCTACGCTTTCATCCCACATCATGCAGAAACTTTTTTCACAAGTTGCATCTTGGATAGTTAAGTTATATGTCCATAGCTTTAGAGAGTAAAAGCTCTGTGAATTATGTAAATCCGGTGTCGGTAGACATTTTTGAAGGTCAATCATTATGACTTTTTCTTGTAAGTTATTTCTCGACTTTCTTTTATCTTCCGATTTCAGTTTGTATCTGTTAGTCGTATCTGCAAGATGCTGATCGTATTCAGTTTGTAGCTTCTTTCGAGAATCAAGTGATTCTGACTCACGAATCTGAAGCTGAAGTTGATCACATAAGTCACAGGTGTCGTTGTCTGGGCTCTTGAATGAATAGTTATATTCATAGTTGAAAATCTCCGAGTACAGCCACTCCTTTGCAATACTTTCGGATCCAAAACCATTTTCTTTACATTCTTCTAAGTAAAGTCTATACATCCTACTTATATTTAAATGATTTCCCAGGTACTTCTTCTTGGTTCTTTCCCGAGAGTAATGGGATTCGTACGTTGGAAATTTTGAAATGTGGTTTCGAACATTTTGTCGAACTTCTTCTGAGATTTTGTTTGCAGGTTGGTGCCTTCCTCTTTTATCAGGCGTTACAATACCTCCTTCCTTTTTCTTTTTAACTGCAGTGTCTACTGTTTGCTGGGAGATGCTTAGGGTATTTAAAAAAAACTTCTTACAAACTGTTTCTTGTTTTCCTTCTGTTTCGAAGCTATAACAATTGGTAAAGATTCTTTTTCCTCTTCTTTCACCAGTCTTTTCTCTGCGTCTTTTTATTGGTACCTGTGTAACTATAGATGCTATGTACTGTCTTCTCATGTCTACTGTTTTTGATGGACTCCAAAAATTGGAATGTATAGTCTGCCGGCGTTCTTCAGGAAATCTATTTTTACATGAGAGTTTGCAATTATCGCCGCAAGATTCTTTTAGGAACTTTGGGTTCATAACACGACTTCCGCTATCGGTTTTGTATCCCAATCCTGAGTACCGTTTCCTTTTCGTAACATTCTTCTTCCAATTCATTGGGTTTGCTTTCCTTTTGCGAGTTAGGTTCTTCTTTGCCTCTTCGTTTTGGTCCTCGTCAGATTCATTTTCATCGGAATAGTTGGGGTCCGCCACATCATCATCGTCGTCAAAATCTACAAATTCTCTTTCAGGACTTCTATGTAGCTCTTCGTCATATTCAGGAGTGACGTGCAAAACTTCTTGGGAAATATTTGGTTCTTCGTCTTCATTGGGACTTTCTATGAGATCAGCATTTTGTACTACTTTTTCTTGTATATTTTTTACTGATTCTTTGGGAGTATCTTCTATTACGTTTTGTTTAACGCCTGTTTGGAGCACAAGATGTGACTGTTGTAGCATTTGATTACATAAAAAACCCAAAGACGGAATAACACATGTCATGGGAGTTTGGCTTTCATCTCTATTATTTTCTGAAACAAAAAAAAAACATAAAATTTTTGCTGTAAGCCGAAAAATAAAAACCAATCAATCAAGTTAAGTCACTATTATTATGAAATAATGCTAGTGCTAAACTATGTTAGTCCGTTACTCCGACAAAAAATAATTTTATGCTTCACTAACTAGTAAGAACTTGTTGGATATAAAGGTAATTATTGAGAAAGCAACCAAATCACTACAATTTAACCGAAAACCACAGCATGCAACAAATATTTTGCAAGTACTTACCTGTTTTTTCTGTGGTACTGGCATCTGCGATTTGAACATTTTTAATATTTTGAACATTTTGTTTCTTTTCTATGTAGTTTTTTACTATCTTACTTGTCCTAGAGGACCACGGTACATTTTTATTAAGAGACATATTAAAAAATGTGCTGAACAAAAAACGCGAGAGGTTAGGTATGTTAACAGGTGGAGTTGACATTACAAACTGAACGTGAATCCAGAGGCAGACAAGGTTAGTCCGACTTAACATTGTTTGGCTTAGGGTGACTTGTGGACTTGACGTATTTTAAAATCAGGTATTTTCGTTATTTTAAAAGATGCGGAACAGTGGAAAATACCAAAAAATGCGCCATACAATTTTGAGTGACTTAACATATTTAGCTAAAATTTGGTAAATTTGGACTTAACATAGTCTGGCTCTGGGGTACAGAGTTGTATAAGGTGCTAAAATGTTCATTTTCGTCCAAAACTCTGTCGCTTAATACAATGTGTTTCTCATGACCCATACAAAATTAAAAATGTTTAATACGCCAAAACACTGGCTGATTGAGATCAAACATATATGGATCGAAGCAGAAAAATCAGCTGATTCCGATGGTATAAATAACTCAATTTTCGCCAAAGTGGCGTATTTTTAATAATAATCATTATAAATAAACTGATCGTGGAATTAGTCGGTACAGCTAATTTAATCGTCATTTGTAGGAGACTGTATCTCGGAAACGCCTAAGCCGATTTTTAAAAATGAAGAAGATTCTGAATGTTCATTATTTCTTGAATCAACGGCTTCATTTGATCTCCAGCAAAGAGTAATATTTCAGTATTGTACAGTGTGTGAAAGAATGCAATGTAAAAATGTAAATTTTTAACTGCCTGCACCTGTTGCAATAGTAATTTCAGAATTTTCATCGTATTCACATTTAGAAGTTTTGATCGATATCTCGGGACGTATTTGACAGTTTTGTATTTTTTTGTTAAGAAAAAAGTTACAGGGTATTTTCAAAAAGTCCGTATTTTTTAAAACTACAAAAATTATTAATATCTAGGAGCTCTTTCATTTGATGTGAAACCTAATTATCTAGCTTTTATTAGAAGTGTCATGATTTTAGCTCCTTCCAAATTATTCTTCAAAATGTGAATCTTGATGTCAGCTATTAATTTAAGTTCTTATTGCTGCGATCTGGTGAAATTTGCCATCCATTCAAAACTTTTATTCGCTTAGTAGGCTATGAGAAAAAGCAGTTTAACAAAAACCATGGAAACGAAGCTCAAAATAATGACAGTAATTGTCATTTGAATAATTGTAACCTTGCAATTTTTTTCATTACGTAGTTTATCTTAAAAATGCCTTTAAAAGAAAGTGAGTTACGAAACATTATGCGGTAAGTTTTATAATGCAATTTAAGAGGACAACATTAAAAAAGGTATTTCAAACAGATTGCGATAACGAGGACTGAGCCTAAAACATATCCCTAACTTGGTGGAGACATCAAGATCCACAGCTCAAAGGACGATAGAAAGAAGCCCAAATCATAGTACACTCCTGTGTATAGAAAAATTCGGCAATGTGGTCGCAAAAGATGTACGACCCCCAGGAAATATCGTCTGATCTGTAAGACGCAGAAGAACTCTAAATGCGACACAGATAAAGGCGAGACTACAAGAGATAACAGAAACGATAATGACGACTACTACCATCAGAGACCGTTTGCACGAGCGAAATTTAAATGCCAGAAGACGTGCTGAATGTCCTTCTCTTCAGCCTGTCCACCGAGTTTCTCGAAGGATATGGATTTGGACTGGGAAATAGCAGAATGAAAATGTTGCAAGCCTACTAATAAAGATCGCTTTGCACTGTATAGAACAGATGGTCGAATGTTAGTTTGGAGAGAAAAGAATGAGCGGTACATTGAAGAAAATAGGGAAGCTAGAGTAGCGTTTGGAGGAGAAAGTGTGACTGTATGGTATCGTGATTTTTGTGTGAATGAGACTGTCGTTCCCTTTGCTCAGAACTTTGGCGAAGATATGGTGAACGATAATGCTCGTCCACACAGGGCTCGAATTGTCCAAGAATGTCTGACAGAGAATGGTATCGATCGAATGAATTGGCCTGCTAGGTCGTCGGATATGAATGTAATTGAACACGTATAGAGCAGAATAAAACTAAAACTAAATCAAAGAGAGCAAGAATTACAAAATTTAGAAGAATTGGCAATTGCAGTTAGAGAGGTATGAGAAGCTATTCCTCAAGAGTTTATTACAAACTTGGTGGACAGTATGTCGAGAAGAACAGCAGAACTTTTGGGAGTACTCGATACTAAATTATTAGTTAATATTGTTTCTCTTTGTTTACGTTAGGTTACCTTTTTCAAATTTGTGTTTCGTGCCGTTCTATTGAAGTAAAATAAACTTATTTAAACTAAAATTTTAATTTTAAAAAATACGGACTTTTGAAAATACCGTGTAACTTTTTTTCTAAACAAAAAAATACAAAACTGTCAAACACGTCCCGAGATATCGACCAAAACATCTAAATGTGATTACAATGAAAGTTCTGAAACAGGTGTAGGTAGTTAAAAATTTAAATTTTTACATTGTAATCTTTCACACGCTGTACCACACTTAAAATGACTTTTTACTGAAGATCACATTAAGCCGTTGATACAAGAAATAATTAACTTTCAGAATCTTCTTCATTTTTAAAAACTGCTTAAGCGTTTCCGAGATACAGTCTCCTACAAATGACGATAAAATTAGCTGTACCAACTAATTCCGTGAGCAGTTTATTTATGAATAAACTAGAATACATATACAGTTTTTGTATATACAGTGTGTCTTGAAATAAGACGGTCATATTTTAACAGCATAATCTACATCCTAAAACAGAAGTAAAAGTTCATATAAACGTAGGTCCGAATACGTTCTGTTTTGGAGATACAGGGTGTTAAAAGTGAAGTCCTGACACATTTTTGTAAATATTTTCTAAACTTCTAAAGATAATTAAATGAAATTTGATACAGATGCTAAACTTTTTATGGGGAGGCTTACTAATTATTGTTTGCACTTTCGAATAAGATAAAATTAACTTATACGAAATTTTCAAAGCAAGATACAACAGAAGTGTAGCTTAATTATAAAGAAAACATTGCTTTTCCAAATTTTGCAGTCAAAAATGTTAAAAACTGTCAAGAAAATTTTTTTTACCCTAAGCCCCCGCCTAATTTACCCAACTATGAAGATGATCAAAAACTGTGGTTCATAAAATGTGGTTCATAAAATAGAGCGTAAATGGTTTAGAATTTTTACCAAATTTTACTTAGTTATTTTTAAACCTTTAAAAAATATTTACATCAAACTTCACTTTTAACACCCTGTATCTCGGAAACGAAACGTTTTCGGACCTATGTTTATATGAACTCTTACTCTTATTTTAGGATGTAGATTACGCGGTTAAAATATGACCGTCTAATTTCGGGACATCCTGTATAATTTCTATAAAATTCAGTTACCATAATACAAACCACAACAAATACAAAATAGGTACAATGAATATAAAATAAATGCAAAATTCAACAAATATAAAATACAAAATAAAATAAATATGAATCCAATAGAAACCAACTACAATACAATAAACACAAAATAAAATAAATACATCAAAAAGAAAATAAAATACTATAAAAAATATAATACAGTAAATGCAATAAACACGTAAAAACAAGATAGAAGATACAAAATAAATAAGAGCATTTATTTTTACATCAGAAATGTTTCATCGTGCAAGCAAATTATTTATAAACCTATTTGACCAATATGGCGATGAAAAATACTTGGGTGTACATTATTTAAAATTTAGCTAGTTGAGAAAATTGTGGGGACAATAGTCTTTTAGAAATGACACCCCCGACAAAATTTAGTAATTCCGGATGTAAAAAAAATATATTTTACCTTCATATAATTTTATACAAATACTCAATTATCAGTCTATGAAGTACGGTGTCGTTCATAATCTTTAGGTGCGTAGCACAACATTTTTACGGTTCCGAAGAGTATCATTTTTCAATACGGCAACAGCTTGTTGATTATGTTGTTAATAATTGGGGAAAAAATGTGGAACTACTAAACAATACTTTTATCGAAAAAACATTTAAATGCTAAAGGGTATATCGAATGTATGGGAAAACCTCAAGAACAAGGAACTGATTTTGAGATCGCTACAAATTCTGAAGTTTTTAAAACACCAGTAATATTGTTTAGAAAACAGACTGAAGAAAACACTTTATTGAAAGTCGTAACATTTCGAGAAAGTAAAACATTAAATAAAGACCCTAAAGATTTTATCAATATTCTCTTTACACAAAGAAATGGACATTTCGAGCTTCTACTTAAAATTAATTCGAAAACTGCACCATTAAATGATATTAATCTGCCCAATGAAGATATTTTTATTGAAGGGATAGTTAAAATGAATGGAAACAATATTTTTGATGATGCTGGTACGAGCGACTGTGTTTCAACAACCAAACAGAGTCCATTTATAAAATAATGATGGACAAAAAAAGATTTTTAACACAAACTATATCAATTGTTAATGGAGAACTCGATTACAACCTCATTCGGGAAGTTATAAAGAAATATATGATAGAGGATTTGGATTGTTCCTGCTCATTAAAGTTGTATGGAGGTGTTCGTCCGAACTCATTGGAATTTGTATTATATGCTAAATGTTTAGCTCCCTATCATGATGCTTGTTTTAAAATTGCAAATCTAGACATAGATTGCAATTATATTGAAATAGACATTGCAGGTAACTGCAAATTGCCCTATAGGCACTATAATACAGATAACATCCCTTTTGAACAAGCAAGAGGTACTAAACGGAAAGTTTTTAAAAAATTAGTAAAATATTGCTTAGCACCAAGTTTCCAGGAACAGACATTTTTAGAATGCGATGAAACGCTTCTTGCCGATGGACATAAGCAAGAAATGTTATACATGTTATACAAAAAAAAAATCATCAGAAAGACGGAACGAGAAACGGCAATGTATGAACACCAGAGACAAGGCGGATTTATTTCAAACCTTTCTATTAGAAAAAAGTTCAGGGCATATGTATATGCAATTTGTCGGGTTACC